GTGTTTTTGTGAAAAAGGGAAAAGAAAATTCCTAACACCCATACTAGATCATTTTCCTGATTGCATGCTTTTGACAATGGAAAATAACCAATCTAATGCATAGATTTTCACTTAGATGGGGTACATAGAACAATGTCATCAGAAAATATAACACAAAAATATCACAATTTCTTAAAGTAAATATTAACTGACAAATAAAATTTCAATTACAGTTAATTGTCTGCAACCTTATTTCAGTGAGTGTAAGATTACAACAAGTACATCAGAGATTCAAAATAAAAATGATATCACAAAATATTACACGTAACAAAATCTCACATATACATTCAAATTGGAAGTTTTTCACATTTCATCATTCAACAATAGCTAACTATAACATATTAGCTATGAATTCAACAAGAATATAATATATTCCCAATGATACAGACTTGCTTTTCGAAGGTAAAACAGCGCAAGCATATTATACAGTAGAATCTGCTAAAAAGACCATCCCTATAACAAAACCACTCAAAAGACCGGCCCAGAGGTCACCAGCATTGTTAAGTCATCAACTTATAAAGACCGCCCCAGGGGCCACCAGCATTGTTAAGTCATCAACTTATAAAGACTACTCAAGGGAATAGTCATAGGGATTATTGAGGTCACTTATATGTACAAATATCATAGGGCTTAATGAAGACACTATGTATCATAGGGCTTAATGAGGAAACTACATATTATAGGGCTTAATAAAGACACTATCATAGGGCTAAATAAAGACACTGTGTATCATAGGGCTAAATAAAGACACTGTGTATCATAGGGCTAAATAAAGACACTGTGTATCATAGGGCTTAATAAAGACACTATGTATCATAAGGCTTAATAAAGACACTATCATAGGGCTAAATAAAGACACTGTGTCTCATAGGGCTTAATGAGGAAACTACACATCATAGGGCTTAATGAAGACACTATGTATCATAGGGCTTAATAAAGACACTATCATAGGGCTCAATAAAGACGCTATGTATCATAGGGCTTAATAAAGACACTATCATAGGGCTAAATAAAGACACTGTGTATCATAGGGCTTAATGAGGAAACTACACATCATAGGGCTTAATGAAGACACTATGTATCATAGGGCTAAATAAAGACACTATGAAACACAAGGCTTAATGAAGACACTTTGTATCAGGAGGCACGGTAGTCCAGTGGTAGGACGCTGGGCTCGTGACCGAAGGGTTGTGGGTTCGCGCCACGGCAAGGCAATGTGTTGTATCCTTGAGCAAGATACTTTACTCCGCCTGTTCCAGTCTACTCAGCTGTAAATGAGTACGTGGCTGGGCAGTGCTAGAATTGTTGAATGCTAGCTGTTAGTGCCTAAATGGCAGCTCCGGCTGTATTCTCCCCAGGGAGTTGAGAAATGTACTGGCTAGTTGCAAAGGCCCTATAACCACGGATAATAATTTGTGAACCGCTTTCAGACAACCTACGAACTAGGTTGTGATAAAGCGGTATATAAGAACCTCCAATTATTATTATTATTATTAAAAAGACACTACATGTATGTATTATAGGGCGGCTTAATGCAGACACTACATATCATAGGGCTTACTGAAGACACTGTGTATCATAGGGCTTAATGCAGACACTATGTATCATAGGGCTTAATGAAGACGCTATATACATGTAACATTGGGCTTAAAAAGACACTATGTGTATAAGGGCTAAATGAAGACACTATGTATCATAGGGCTTAATGAAGACACTATATACAAGTAACATTGGGCTTAAAAAGACACTATGTGTTATAAGGGCTAAATGAAGACACTATGTATCATAGGGCTTAATGAAGGCACTGTGTATCATAGGGCTTAATGCAGACACTATGTATCATAGGGCTTAATGAAGACACTATATACATGTAACATTGGGCTTAAAAAGACACTATGTGTTATAAGGGCTAAATGAAGACACTACATACCACAAGGCTTAATGAAGACACTACATACCACAAGGCTTAATGAAGACACTATGTATCAAAGGGCTTAATGAAGACATTATATAACATTGGGCTTAAAAAGACACTATGTATTATAGGGCTTAATGAAGACACTACACATCATAGGGCTTAATAAAGACAATGTGTATTATAGGGCTTAATGAAGACATTATATAACATTGGGCTTAAAAAGACACTATGTATTATAGGGCTTAATGAAGACACTACACATCATAGGGCTTGATAAAGACAATGTGTTTCATAGGGCTTAAAAAGACACTATGTATTATAGGGCTTAATGAAGACACTACATACCACAAGTCTTAATGAAGATGTTTTTATCATAGGGCTTAATGAAGATGTTTTTATCATAGGGCTTAATGAAGATGTTTTTATTATAGGGCTTAATGAAGACACAATGTATTATAGGGCTTTAAAAGACATGTATCAAAGGTTTCAATGAGGACACAAAGTATCGTTGGGCTTATTCAGGACAATATAAATCATAGAGCATATTGAGGACTCTTTTGTTTTGGTTGGCCTTAAGGATCTCAGTCACACTACAGCCATAACACTTGAGAATTATATTGTTGTTGTTTTTTTGTAAACATACAGCATAAATGCATAGATTGGTATGTTTTGATTAAACGTTCTAGTTATATCACAAATTCATGAGAAGCATAATGAGATTTAACATGATTCTACAGTATAAAACATCATACTTTGTAAACAGCAAACATATTTCACAATGGAACAATCCCTACCTGGAACGATCAGCATTGCATACGGTAAACATAACTCATGTTTTGTAACATCTAGCTTAGTGTATTTCACAATGGAGCTTACTCCCAACCAGGAATACTCAACCTAAACTACAACAGGGCTAAAACATGATTTATGTTTTGTAACATCTAGATTAGCATATTTCACACTGGAGCTTACTCCCAACCAGGGATACTCAACCTAAACTACAACAGGGCTAAAACATGATTTATGTTTTGTAACATCTAGCTTAGCATATTTCACACTGGAGCTTACTCCCAACCAGGGATACTCAACATAAACTACAACAGGGCTAAAACATGATTTATGTTTTGTAACATCTAGCTTAGCATATTTCACAATGGAGCTTACTCCCAACCAGGGATACTCAACCTAAACTACAACAGGGCTAAAACATGATTTATGTTTTGTAACATCTAGCTTAGCATATTTCACAATGGAGCTTACTCCCAACCAGGGATACTCAACCTAAACTACAACAGGGCTAAAACATGATTTATGTTTTGTAACATCTAGCTTAGCATATTTCACAATGGAGCTTACTCCCAACCAGGGATACTCAACCTAAACTACAACAGGGCTAAAACATGATTTATGTTTTGTAACATCTAGCTTAGCATATTTCACAATGGAGCTTACTCCCAACCAGGGATACTCAACCTAAACTACAACAGGGCTAAAACATGATTTATGTTTTGTAACATCTAGCTTAGCATATTTCACAATGGAGCTTACTCCCAACCAGGGATACTCAACATAAACTACAACAGGGCTAAAACATGATTTATGTTTTGTAACATCTAGCTTAGCATATTTCACAATGGAGCTTACTCCCAACCAGGGATACTCAACCTAAACTACAACAGGGCTAAAACATGATTTATGTTTTGTAACATCTAGCTTAGCATATTTCACAATGGAGCTTACTCCCAACCAGGGATACTCAACCTAAACTACAACAGGGCTAAAACATGATTTATGTTTTGTAACATCTAGCTTAGCATATTTCACAATGGAGCTTAATCCCTACCAGGGATACTCAACCTAAACTACAACAGGGCTAAAACATGATTTATGTTTTGTAATAGCTCACATATAATTATTTTACATTGGAACTTATAATAACAATGTAGTCCTACCTGGAATGCTTCACACAATCTACAACAGGGCTAAAACATGATTTATACTTTGCAGCAGCTAGCATATCTTTTTACTCATTCACCCCTGAAGACACATTTGAACCCTTCCCATTCAAAGGTTGGAATAGTTCATTATGAAATTTCAGGGGTGAATGAGTTAAAAGGAGCTGCAGTGAATCCATCCGAGGTCAATTGAATTAGGGAATGATACAGCTTGGAGCACTGAATTTTGTACAAATTATTATTAGATGCAAATATGTTGTTGATATTTGGAATGTAAAGTTTAATAGCACATATTAAATAACTTAGTCAGTTGTTGAAAATTTTGAAAATATGGGTATCCCTGAAAGCCAAGAAATCTCCATTCTATAGTTACATGTGAAATATAAATTCTATGCCCCTCTCTTACACGTGATACATCTGGATCTTTCCTACACAAGGGAGATAATCCCATTATCTCCTATTAACATATTTGGAACTTATTTCAATTCAGATCTAGATTTTACAGATACCAAATGTAGTAATTTGTCAGAATAAATATGTAATAAAATCTGTAAAACATTGTTTAAATGCATTGAAGTATGTAGGTTCATTACCAAGCAAATTGAGGTCGCAATAATTGATATTAAATACATATATCTTTTGTAATAGGTTATATATACAGTAGTGTTATTTAAAAAAAATAAAAACGAAAAAGTCCCCAACAGACATTTCCAGCGAATTAATATAATTATGGTACATACCTAACTACAACTGTACCCCGACACCACTAATGTAACATTGCCTGAACATACATTCTTACTATTTTGTGCTTACTCCCTTGATGGAGCTGTAGTTATAATAGTGTTGAGCGTCCATTGAAGATTCCTTCTACAACTCTTATGACCCAACCAAGATGTTGATTCTCTCCTTTTCTGTTTGTGGTCCCTATTTTACATACATTTGTGTGTATTCTTTTTTGTGTAAGTGCAAAAATAACACTAGATGATATTGAAATCAAAGATATTGATTATTTTAAATGTTTGCAATAAGTTAGACCTTATCTAGAAGATCACATGAAATTCCTGTGAAATGTAGCATCAGGTGAATTTACTGTCATAATTTTTGATGCAAAAACTTGAATCTGAAATTTTGAAAAAAAATGATGGAAAGTTATAAAACATACTGTATACTGTGAATTTTTTGCCCAGTTATTTTTTGCCCTTCGCCGTTAAAATCCATATTCGTCCAGTTTTAATTTCGGCCTTCACATTAAATTGCTATGTTTATCCTGCTGTTTACTTAAATTCCCTGTAACAATCAATTTGCTTTATTAACAGAGGGCGAAAACGGTGAAAATTTAACTGCAGCGCAAATTATCCGGTATTCAGTAACTTCTAGTACAATTTCACATAGATTAAAAAATACTTCATATGAAGTTAACAAGAAAATGTCAGTTTGAAATGCATAATTACATACATATTACAGAAATATACAAACATAGATGATAGTTATATACTTGTTTTATATGTACAGTAGGCAATATTGGCAGTAGTATTAAATTTTCTTTGTGTGACAATAATACAGGTATTTTTTCATGGACATAAATTATAATATGGAATGAATAATCAAACATTAACATATGAACAGAATTTTTAAAAACTTTCAAAATACAACATCATTTGATTTTAAATGAAATCTTAGTATCAAAAATTAGAAATGCAACAACCTCCCCTCCCTTGGCCCTTCCGGCCAGATCTACTAATTATATATATAATAACACATTACTATATAAACATTTATACACATGATGATATAAAATAACAGTGGTTTGAGTATTATGCCTATTACTATAGATCTACATGTATATGAGATAAAATATAAAATGTACCATACAACCACCTGTCCAAAATATTAATCTCTTGAGTGTATTGACTTCACAAATTGTAGATAACTGTACATTTATATATGTTCGAACTATCCGCCTATTCAAACTGACCGAGGTATATATATTCAAAGCACACATGTATCAATAAAAATGAAACTTTCACTATTGCATAGTTCTCAAAATGATCATTTTTTTGTGATATTGTAATACAAAAAGTACAGAGGATGATCAACTGTTTCTTAAATAATGGTTAACAACTAAGCCAGTAATTTGCTGTCCGTAGAGGACACAAAAATACACTTCACTGAATTGATGTCAATAAAAATAGAACTTAATGTAATAATCTAAACCAAATATTATCCATTTGAGATGTAGGAAAACTGATATAATGGATGTTCTACTCCTAGCACATTGATTGGATGTTTTAATGCAAAAATTAATTGGAGGCAGCCATTGATTCTAAAGCATCTGAATGTGAAAATGATGCACATAATTTCTTTGATCCCACCAGATATCTAATTTACAACCAGCAATAAACTTGAGCTACAAATATAAACATAAACGTGTCTGAATCAAACTTCAAATTTTAGGTTTTTCAGCAACTTCGTTAAAAAAGTTCATGGACATATTTTTATTATATTAATCATACAATATTTATATAGTACTCTAAGCTTTATTTATGAAAATTATTCTAAAGCACTTAATAGACAGAAACGTCTAATATTCCTTTGATAATGTACATACAGCACAGAAAACCGTAACACCCAACCCAGACTGTAACATGCTACACTCCACATAAATGAAATTGAACAAAAAGATCTAGTCAAATACCTTGCTCAAGGAGACAACCACATCCTGTTGCCTAGAGAAATGACCTACAACCTTGCTAATAGGCTAGTACAATACTGAATGTGCTCTACAGTGCCATTACACTCAGTAACACTTTATCAGAGCAGTACAAATAAAACCCTATATAGTGTCTGGTAAACTGTTTTCCTACAACATTGAAACTTATGATACAAATCTTGATGAATAATAGATTTTGGGAGTTTTGATTCCTTATAAATTTTCGTGATGTCCCTTAGATGACCATATCAGGATTACATCTGTGTCTTTAACCCTTCACCCCTAAAGTCACATTTGAACCTTACTAAATCCAAGACTGGGCAAGTCCAGTTTAAATATGTAGGGGTTCATGAGTTTAAGTTCATAACAGCTTTATTACAGGGCTTTACCATCTTACAACAGTGATACAGCAAATGTAACACAAATCTGTGTATCACTATTCACACACAGAATGTTATATCGTATGCTGTGTATTTAGATGGACAATTTAACCCATTTATACCCCTGAAGTCACATTTGAACATTACAAAATCAAGGACTCGGCAAGTCCATTTTAAATATGTAGGGGTGACTGAGTTAAAGTAGTGAGGATTATCCACATACCTGCACTTTAGTCACTGTTGTAAAAGTATATTTCCCAAAATACTTCAGTCTGGTTGTATTATGACATCATTCCACTCATTTATCAACCTAAGGCAATTCATACAGTGGAATTTTACAAGGTAAAACGTGGGATTAATCTGTCATTGGTGTCTGTATAATGAATTTTGAAGAATCTCAAATTCAATCACGAATACCAACAGATTCAATAAATCTTGAATGCTTAATTAAAGCATTGCCAATTCTGGTGTTGGTTCAGTGGTGAACACTTTCCCTGTCTTGGCCTTTGTGACTACAATCTGTGGCACTGCACTGACGTTTTCATTTCCTTGCCCGATGCCAAGTATTGGCGCTGACTCGCGTCCTTGTCCATCCCCTAAACTATCGCGTAGATTACCCACCAGTTCTGACCCTAACGCTGTTGCACAACTGATTCCATCGTCAACAGAGTGGCTTCTTGAACGATACTGGGCATGCTTAGTTAATTCGACCGTACTGGAAGTCTTGTACGACATTGCTCTTCGGCGACCTTTCGATTTGTACACCTTGGAGGGAATGGCGAACATGGAGCTTGGTTGTATAACATACCTGTAAGGACAAATCCAGTATTAGAATTTAGATTAGAAGATCAAACATAAACACTAAGAAGCAGATTTTACAAATTATTCAGATGTCGTTTCTAACAATGATCCCGTCTTTGTGATACCTGTCCTTTGAAAGTTGCAGCAGAGCTACAACAAACTCCAAAGCCTGTCAATTTCACTGTTACATTTCAACATGTTTCCTTTGATCTTCATCAGAAACATTAGACTAGTCTTCTTGCATCATTGGCAATGTGGTTTATAAATGCCTTAGAATGTTGTCATGACAAATTGTTAGCAACTAGAATTCCCTACCTGACAACATATGATACAAACACCCAATCTAACAAGCATTCTGTGGGTATTGATGAATCAAAACATGTCCCCTACCCGCCCCCCAAACTTTAACCTTCAGATTTTGGCCAAGATAGTTAAGTCCAAATCTTGTCAAAAAAAACAACAAGAATTATTTATTCACTTTCACTTAACAACATTAATGCTAGACCCCTAAAGAACCTCTGTCCATAAAATCAGCATCCTAACAATATTACAAAGGGAACGGTGAGCCATTACAAAACTTTAACCCAAACTTTAACCCTAAGATTTTGGCCAAGATAGTTAAGTCCAAAACATGTCAAAAATTCCCCAAAAAATAAAANACATGTCAAAAATTCAAAAAAAATAATTCTTTTCCATTTTCAATCCACAGCATTAATGCTAGATCCCTAAAAAAACTCTGTACATAAAATCAGCATCCTAACATCATTATTATAAGGGAACGGTGGGCCGTTACAAAACTTTAGCCCAAACTTTAACCCTAAGATTTTGGCCAAGATAGTCAAGTCCAAAACATGTCAAAAATTCCCCAAAAAATAAAATTATTTTCCATTTTCAATCCACAGCATTAATGCTATAGACCCCTAAAGAACCTCTATGCTAAGAATCAGCATCCTAACATCATTATTAAGTGAATGGTAAGCCATTACAAAACTTTAACCCAAACTTTAACCTGCAGATTTTGGCGACGGACGGACGCAGACAAAACCTCTAGTCCCCCCGTTTCACCGGTAGGGGACTAATAACTTTTGAAAACCCCATTGATAAATTTTGAGAAAGTGATGAAAGGAGATTTACAACAACATCAGAGTGACATCATATCAAAGACATTGGACTATGATCTGAATAAGTTGAACTAAGTTATGATATATTCATAAGGTGAAGACAAGATATGTATATCAGTAGCAAAACCTTCGGATTTCGAATACGAAGTGATTATAATGCTGATAGAGGCACTTATCACCGCAACAATGTTAGTTAATTTTATGTTTTTTTACTTCATGTCAGTCCTGAAAGCTTATTCATGAAGCAGTATTATAAACTTCAGACAAAGGTTTATAAATACTTGTGCTTTACATCGTTTTAACAGTTTGTTACTTACACCAAATCTCCCTTCCTCAGCTTCCTCTGTGGGTGAGGATTGAGGATAACATAGGATACAGGTGTATCCGTCTCGTCATGCTCACCTGTACAATATAAAGTCAATGTTAGAGTCAAACCATATGTAAACCAAAATACCATTTTATTCTGCTGTACAAGTGAAATAATGGTATCCAATAGGAAAAGCATTACAATTTATAATTATCATATTTTTTAATGTGCAAAGATGAAAAAATGTGAGATTTTGTAGCATAATCTGGTGCCATATTCCAATGATGTCACACTTGACAACAAGCTAAAGGCTCTTCTCCATTTTGAATGGGCTACTCAACGAATTTCTTTTGTTTACTGCTTAAAGTGTATAACCAATCTGGTAGATTTCCCGTATAAAAATGGTTTCAGTTAATATATGGAGTAAACTACGTTAATACTGTTTCAGCTTTGAATGCAGTGCTTAGAAAATACCAGTCCGATTGATCACTATAAACTCGATAAAGGATCTGATTTCATCACATGTGAAAATGTAACATTTTGTATATCATCACTGTAGTAAAGTCATCAGATTTTATCAAACTGACAATTTCTGATATATCACGGGTAAAAAGGTAATATTAATCTCTGATACATAATCTTACTAAAGCTCAGAGTATCCATCTCTAGAGATTTCATCCTGTTCCTGACCAGATCTGAAACGTCATCCTTCTCCGACTTCTCGTAGAACTGTTTGATGTTGAGAGACATCTTCTTGGTCGTTGATGTTCTCCGTGTCTGGCCTTTCTGTTCCGCTGACTTGTTGTTATTCTCTGGATTATCATCCTTTGTTTTAAACAAACATTAGTTATTTTCTTTTCTCTCTTTTTTTTTGGGGGGGGGGGGGCAATATTTCCTGTTGAATGTCATCAGTATTTTTTTAAATTCAGAACAGTGATATGAAAGCTGTTATATATGGGGGCAAAAGAACTGAACATACACTTTTAAATGTTGCTGTTGGATATTGTGAGATTATGTTGTAATTCCCATCTCAAAAATGTTACCCTGTCTCCCATTTGAAAAAGTTTCCTTCTAAAACATGAAGAGAGCGTCAATGGAATTTGTGGTGTTGACCTCTTCAATAGGACGCATAAGATCATTCATGATACAGTACAGATGATGATGCCTTAGTTAAAGCCATGAGGTTTTTTTTTTACATTTCATTTTTTTTATTGATTTTCATGTGAACAATTACATTAAGACCAGAGACTAAACATTACATTACATAACAATTCATTACATTACAATACCCATAGGATTATATACATGCTTGAATTCAACATGAGCACTGCTAAATTTGGGAACATCAGAAATTACACTCTGCACCGATTTTATTTTTTTAAATATACATATTTATTAACATGCCCTCACATACCTCCACCTTCATCGGTGATTTAGTTGGATCTAAACACAATAGTTTCAGAATAAAATATGCAAGTTCATTTTGAAGCAATTTGTTCACCTAGTTTCTTCCAAGTTTTTCAGCAGCGCCCATATTAAAGTTAATTTTTAGCTTAGCTTTTGCTATAGATAAGTACACTTAGACGAATAGACATACAGCAAGACTAATTTCCATCATCAGTGCAATATTCATTACCATACCAACAAAGACTTTGTTTATATTATCCCTTTCGGATAAGTTTAAAGCCATGAGTTCATGATAACTGTAACAAACATATTTTATGTAACAGAGGTCATTAATTTTTCAAAGCCTCCACCAGGAGTCGAACCTGGGACCTCTGGCTTACTAGTCTTATTCTTTACCGAATGAGCTAAAGAGAAAGTCTCTCTAGCCGTGTCGGTAGGAAGCGGCTAGTATTTTGCCAGGGTGACATTTAATTTACTCGACAGGTATAGATATGGAAAACCCATCAAGATATATCAAATGACGCCTTCGAACACAAAAGACTCAACCTCAGTATCCACCGGTAGGCTTGAAAATGAAGTGAAACTAATATATTATAAAAGATAAAATTAGCTTAACTTAGTTTCTTACCTCTTGGTCATCTACAAGTTTCCTTTTCTCAGTTCTATAAATAGCGACAGGGACTTCCCCCGTCATTGAACACAAGCCCTGGTATAAATCTCCATATGTCCTATACTTGGCAAGAACTGGGCGCTTCACTTTGATCTGTTCGTGAAATTAAATATTTGATATATATTGGTAAAACAAATCAAAACTAAGACAAAGGAAAAATGAAATAAGAGAATAAATTTCAGTAAACTAACTGCACATCTAGCTCTGGTTGTCACATAATTTGCAATAGACAGCCAACTACTGAATACTGGGAAATTTTCTCTGCAGTTTAATTTTTGCCTTTTTTTCGCCCCCCATTATCATGGCAAATTTATCATTACTAACAATGATATTTGTAAACAATATACTATACATAGTAATTAAAGGTGGAGGGTGAATTTAATATTGGGCGAAAAATTGATTTTACTGTTGAAGCCAGAAATTTTAATCGGCGACAATTTCCTGGTCAACAGTAGCAGTCGTACTTACACTAGACAGGTGACCAGAATTCATTTCAGCATCAATCCCGAGCAACAGCCGCACAAACTTGATCAGGTATCCTTTTACAAATGTCTGTAAACACCACAAACAGTACTGTGTTATTAATTTGAACCTGTGATTAGGTCAACTTGAATTCGGGTGAGTGTCAAATTCCCTATCCTGAACATGGATTTGTTGAATATCTTTCTGGCCTGAACTTGGGTAATTACTTTAACATCCCTTTTGACCCAAACTTTGATTTGTTTAAAACCATTCCTGGAATTTTAATATATAAGAATTATTCTGAAGTAATTCTTCACCTGGCCCATAAGTATGTCATGATCCTTTTTATTTCAAAATAATGTTCAAAGAGTTTACTAATGCAGAAAAAAATGTAGATGATATTTTTTCTGGAGACATTGTGCAAATTTTTGTTAAAAATAAAATTATTCCTAAGAATGAACGGACTTGAACTCTTTCTCAAGACTACAAAAGGTGCAGTGGTACAGTTACCTTAAAACCAGTGAGGGATTTTACTGACCTGATAGAGAAGTGTGTCCAACATACTCCCACTGAAAACGCGGCCCGCAGCAAAGGGGAGACGGAAAATATGGGTCAAAGTTGTCCTCATGTGTTCCTTTAGTTTCTAAACATGTAAAATCTTAGGCATAAACCTGAAGCATTCCATGATACTTTACAGAATATCATAGCATTTCACAACACAATATTATTTTAGTGCTTCAAATTTAAAGCAAAGGATTGGGGACAAGTTATATCAACTTTATACAAGTTATATCCTAATTTTGACGTGTTTCACTCAAACAATTTCTCTGCCTTTCATGAATATTTATGAAAATAAAATTAAATGGCTACAATCTCAAACAAGAGGCCCATGGGCCTTAACGGTCACCTGATATATTTATACAGAGAGTTGATTTTGTTTTTAACATGAACAGAAATATTATTCAAAGTGACAAAAAACAATAAAACCACCTTACTCAATATCTAGCATACAGATTTCAGACTAAAAAGGATTTGAAACTAGCACCTCTGATTCTTAACAAGGAAAATGAAGAAATTTTAGCACACTGACTCCTTTGAGCCCCACCCTACAGCCCTTGGGGGTAGGGCTGGCTCAAAATTTTCAAAGTATCAAACTGTCAATTCAAGGTTATAATTCCAATCAAGTTATTANCGGACAAAAGGCGATCGCAATAGGTCACTTGAGACTTTGTCTCAGGTGACCTAAAAACTTTCATAGACAATGCCTCTCTGTACACTATAACTAAAATATTAATTGACATATAAAACTAAAATATTTATCAATCTATTAAACTTATATATGTATTGATTTATTAAACTAAGAAATATCTATTGATCGATTAAACTCAAGAGTTATTGATCTTTTAACTGAAATATTAATTGATCTATGAAATTAAAATATTTATTGATCTATAAAACTAAAAAAATTATTGAACAGTTAAACAAAAATACTTATTGATCACTTTCGATCATATGTCTTGTCAAATATTTTTCACATCTATAATAAAAGTGATCTGTTCATTAACTTATCTTTTATGGGTAGATTAATTTGAAGTAATACTCTTTCGTTTCGTACAAATAACATACAAAAAAGTTAAGTACCTTCTCAAGTTTGGAGATTTTCTGTGCATAGTGATCATGTGCCTGAAATTGCATGAACCGCATGTTGGACGCTTTGTCCAGTTCAGTGATGATATTTGCATTCGGGAAAAGTCTGCAAGAATAACATGTAAAAAAGTTTAAAAAGAGTACTAATCAACGTTACTAGGATTAATTTCTATCACAATAGTTCATACTGTAGTCACCATGGTTTACACCTATCAGCGTAACCCTGTTCCTTGGACATTTATCAAAGTGAAAACGGCGGTTATTTGCAAGTGGGGGCATATTTGTGGTCAATATAATACATGAAAAGCTATATACATTTTTTTTTATCAAATTGTTAACATTCCAGGTGAGATTATTCTTTTATTCCTTTATCTATTCCATTCAAAAAACAAAAAGTAGTACCCTTGAATCTGTGGTGGGTTTTTTTCAAACCATGTTATTTTCAGTTCACATTAGAAACCCTCTACCCGAGTCTTCAAGACAAGGGCATTGTCTACATATGGACATTAGTTGTCTATAGTCATATGTATCTGGTACCTTACATCTTACATCAGATTTTTCGTTTTCCCAGTAATCACTACATGGATGCAGTCTTCAAGACAGGTCCTATCCTGCAGTCACATGTGGCCTCTACGATTTTTACAATGGCAATCTGATAGTTTTAGTGATGGGCCCTAAGAAGCTGGAGCGGCCACACCCTTTATGGGTCCATTAAGGAACCCTATCCCAATGCCAAAAACTTTATGTAAATATTGGAAACTGTTTTTTAATGCATGGCTATAGCCTTGATAAATCTTTTCTAAAAAGAAAACTATCCTTACTGGATTCTTATGAAAAATCATCAAGATGAATTAACAAAATATAATTAGCAAGAGTGTTCTGAGTGAGGCTAGAACAGTGTTTGAACACTGGACTTTAGATTGCTAGTTATACTATCGCTGTTACCATTTGAGCTATCTGGTCAATGAAAGCGTACTGGCCCAAAGTGCTACATTTATTTCTAAAAGAAAGTAAAAGGGAGGTTACTGTATATAGGAAAAAATGCAGTGCTGTGGGACAGGGATCCTTTAGGCAATGAAGATATGGGAAATAAGGAATTCCCACAGGATCCTTTTTGTTCATCTCTGAGGCATTTCTATATGTATTGTAGCACTAACTTGTAGGCGGTCTGTATAGCGACGATATTGTGATATAATATTTTTATTTCTGAAGCATTTCGATATGTAGAGTAGCACTTACCTGCAGGCGTTCTGTATAGCGACAATGTTGTGATATGATATTTTTATTTCGGTAGCATTTCTATATGTAGAGTAGCACTTACCTGTAGGCGTTCTGTATAGCGACAATGTTGTGATATGATATTTTTATTTCGGTAGCATTTCTATATGTAGAGTAGCACTTACCTGTAGGCGTTCTGTATAGAGACAATGTTGTGATATGATATTTTTATTTCGGAAGCATTTCTATATGTAGAGTAGCACTTACCTGTAGGCGTTCTGTATAGCGACAATGTTGTGATATGATATTTTTATTTCGGTAGCATTTCTATATGTAGAGTAGCGCTTACCTGTAGGCGTTCTGTATAGCGACAATGTTGTGATATGATATTTTTATTTCGGTAGCATTTCTATATGTAGAGTAGCGCTTACCTGTAGGCGTTCTGTATAGCGACAATGTTGTGATATAATATTTTTATTTCTGAAGCATTTCGATATGTAGAGTAGCACTTACCTGTAGACTGTCTGTACAGCGACGATGTTGTGATATAATATATTTATTTCTGAAGCATTTCTATATGTATAATAGCACTAACTTGTAGACGGTCTGTACAGCGACGATGTTGTGATATAATATATTTATTTCTGAAGCCTTTCTATATGTATTGTAGCACTTAGCTGTAGACTGTCTGTACAGCGACAATGTTGTGATATAATATATTTATTTCTGAAGCATTTCTATATGACATTGTATAGTAGCACTTACCTGTGGACGGTCTGTACAGCGACGATGTTGTGATATAATATATTTATTTCGGAAGCATTTCTATATGTATTGTAGCACTAACTTGTAGACGGTCTGTACAGGGACGATGTTGTGATATAATATATTTATTTCTGAGGCATTTCTATATGTATTGTAGCACTAACTTGTAGACAGTCTATACAGCGACAATGTTGTGATATAATATATTTATTTCTGAAGCATTTCTATATGTATTGTAGCACTAACTTGTAGACAGTCTGTACAGCGACGATGGTCTCTGAGTCGACCAGAACATTCTCTGTCTCCACAGCGTCCTTACACTCACGATTAGTGACCACAAGGTGACTGGACTTTTGTATTCCGGCCATCAGTAGGTCATCCACACTGAAAACACCGGACAGTAAATTGATGAGTCATAAATATCTGGCTACTCTTTCACAAAAAAAAATTCTGTCGTTTAGAAGAACCTGTTGAAAGATTTTAAAACACTTCGTTGAAAGTAAACTATAAATTGACAGAGTGGAAACCGATTGTCATGTTACTAAAAGGAAACAATCTTACTTGAGTGAACCTTTCATCCAATAGACCATGGGGAACATGGCGATGGTCTCCAGAAATAAGCTGTCCGGTCTGTCAGAGTGAAAGAGTATCATAAAGTCATGACTATGAAATATTTTTATCATAGCTTCTTTTAGTCCTGACAAGACAATCTCTACTTCATAAATAGTGTGAACATGGACAGGTAGATATTTTTAATTCTCATTGCGCAAATGATCTCTTCATATGCACATGCCTTTTATACACATATGACGTCGACTTCTATAAATATAACTTCTAATTCATTTAAATTTATAATATACACCCATCTTCTATATGCATGTATATATGACCTCTACAACACATTGACCTCCAAAAAGGTCTTGATGTTTCAGAGGTAAACAGCTCAATACTCTCAAAAGGGTCATAGTGACATTGTCTATTGATGGTACAAGTTCCTGGATTGCTGCGTTGTCTATTGATGGTGCAAGTTCCTGGATTGCTACATTGTCTATCGATGGTACAAGTTCCTGGATCGCTACATTGTCTATTGATGTACAAGTTCCTGGATTGCTACATTGGCTATTGATGGTACAAGTTCCTGGGTTGCTACATTGTCTATTGATCGTACAAGTTCCTGGATTGCTGCGTTGTCTATTGATGGTGCAAGTTCCTGGATTGCTACATTGTCTATTGATGGTACAAGTTCCTGGATTGCTATGAAAAGATAGATATACATGCATGGATATGAATAGTACAAATATTACTACTATTACACATTTTTTACTTGTATACTTTGTATATAATGTCTACTACATAATATGCAACCTCTGTCACTATATCTCCGTATATCATCCTCAATACTCCAGGGAGTATATATTAATACACCCACTTTCACTCTCTGCACTCCTGGAATTTGTCATAGCAAAATCAAAGGCTCAATGCACGTTTATGTGCACATCCTTGTGGATCAGACGAGAAGACTAGTTTGATCCTTTGATGCCAGCTGTGTAATGGTAAAGTTGACTGATTTTGAAGTCGGGTGTCGCTCCTCTGTAACCTTCAAAGGACATATATCATCCTAGTAATTGGTCAGGTTTTTTTTACCTGTGACCAATCAAGTGACTTACTGCATGCCTTCAATTTTGCTATGACATATTCAGGGGTGCAGAGCACGGCTATTTCTATATAATAATACGACCTCTGTCGCTAAGTTTTATTTTACTCACTCCATCTCCAGCAGTAGTATTATAGGACTGAGGGAGACTATGTTGATAAACTGTGACCTCAGAGGTACGATGAAGTTGTAGATACCAGAATGTGGCCTCTCTGTAGACAGGATAATGAGGCGCCCCTGCCATCGCTGTTCATTGGCATTCTTGAAGTTACAGTGCTCACAATCCTGTAACAGTATCACACTTGATTACAACTATAATGCTTCAACAGAAAAAACAAACTTTATATATGAAAGATCTTTTATTTTCACAGAAAAAGTCAGTAAATGAGTTAATGATAATATCTCATTTTGGTTTATATCAAAATTCCTATAACATAAAGAGAAATAAATGGATATAAAATATATATAAACTGTTTATTATACTATAATAGTAACACATGTTTCTAACTATAATCACAGTAGATAGTAATGGATTCAGTATATCAAACATACCTATCTCTAGAGAAGATAATAACAGTTTCAGTATATCAGGCATACCTGTTCCCACAGAAGATAGTAATAGACTCAGTATAAGTAAATCACAATTACCTCTCCCCACCTCAGACAGCAAAGTGGTCGCTCCTTCTTGACAAGGTAGCAGCGTGTGTTTTTTGTGCCCGCGTACAGTGTTACAGGTGGTGAACCAGTAATAACTCTACAACAAACATTTATGTATTTCCCATCTGTGTAAACAGAACTCAATATTATCATTATTTTTTTTAAATTATCAAAATAGGTATGTTCCATGTTTTAGGTGACTATATAACAAAGCAAAGAATTGCAAGCAGACCTACAGACAAAACATTGGTATCAATATTTAAGAAAGTGCCATATTATATGTAAAATGTGGCATGCAAGCCAATTTTAGTAAATGCTGCTTCATCTTTTAAAAAGGTATAAGACTGACAGATGGACAAAGTCCTGATCCATATTCTTGTGCGGGGGCTATAAATCAAATAGCAGCTTGACGAAATGAAAAGTCAAAAGTTGATTTAATTTAATATTTATCAATGGGGAGTTCATCTTCTACCTCCAAACTGATTCTCAAGATGAAGAAATCTCATTGTGTTCCTAATGTAAGTCATCTCCAATCTCTTATTCAAATTGGAGGTCTCCTAATACATATTCAGTTTGAAATTTAACATCTACAATGGAAATATTGAAAGTGGTTTCTTAACAAAGGTGGTCTCTTTACAAAGGTGGTCTCTTAACAAAGGTGGTCTCTTTACTAAGGTAATCTCTTAACAAAGGTGATCTCTTTACTAAGGTGGTCTCTTAACAAAGGTGGTCTCTTTACTAAGGTGGTGTCTTAACAAAGGTGGCCTCTTAACAAAGGTGGTCTCTTAACAAAGGTGGTCTCTTTACAAGGGTGGTCTCTTAACATGGTGTTCTCTTAACAAAGGTGGTCTCTTTACAAAGGTGGTCTCTTAACAAAGGTGGTCTCTTTACAAAGGTGGTATCTTAACAAAGGTGGTCTCTTAACAAAGGTGGTCTCTTTAACTGTGGTGATTGCATGACCATGTTTGACTTTATTTGGTAAATAACAATTCTATAGAAGATCTGAACCTGTCTTTCTATATGTGAGAGCAAATTGAAGCCTGTCAGTAAATCCAGAATCTGGAACATGTTATTTCATTATACACAAATTACAGGCAACAGAGTACTCAACAGTGCCCCACTCACTCATTTTGTCCAATGTCGTCCATCATCTGCTGAAGTTTGATGTTGGCACTTGCGTCTGTCACATCAGCATTGTGGCTGAGGAGGTTGATGTTGTCCGGAGTAGGCTCCCCTGGCACATCTAACAGGAGCTGCTTTTTGAGTTCTAACCCAGCCTGGGAGCTAAGTGTGTTGAATACACTCTCCTCGCCATCTGATTCCTCATCGTCGCCATGGGCTTCTATAAATCTCTGGAGCTCTGATGCCATCATAGCTGACAAAAAATACATAACAAAATTAATAGCTAATATGTATACCAAAACCTGGTAACTTTTCATAATATTCTTAGTTTCCAAGTCTTTTATTGTGTTCATGATTCTACTTTTATAATCAAGTAGTCTAAGACTGGATAGTAGTCATTCAAAATTTTGTCTGTATATGTTGAATTTATAAACAGAAGGCCCAGGGGCCTCAATAGCTCTCCTGGTATTTTGTTTTCAATTTAAATCCTGTGAAGTACTTTGCCAGTTTACCATAGGAGGACAACAAAACAAGCTGCAAGAAGGACTTAATTCAAAGCTTTTGGTTGGGTAAGACACCAAGAACATAATGTGTTCTTCATGTCTAGCAATTTTGTATAAGGTATCAGTGTGGGGATCTCAAACACTGTTTCCATTTTATTTAACTCTTTATTTGTTTAACTCGGATTACGAACAGCCCAAGGGCCACGAGTCGCTTTCCTCAGTTTCCATGTTATGACCCCGGGACTCAGGGTGGTATAGTCGCCACTGGTAGGTATGGACTGCTGGACCAATCCTGACAGCATGAATGTTTTCTTTTATTCGTGTCTAGCAATTCTATATTTGGTTATAGGGCTGGGATAAAATCCCTTTATTCATATCATGGAAGTTAAAAGATTTTATTGATTCACCTCTATTTCCCCTATTTGGCCCCTTGGAAAATGAAATTGTGACCAAAAAAAGTCAGCTTCAAACCAAATTCTGTAACCATTTTATGAAATCCACACATCTTCCTATTTTGTACAACTTTGCTGATAATGGTGCCTGTAAATATCATACCATATTTCTTTTCTCTCTCAGTCTTCGTCTTCTCCTTACTATCATCCTGAGTTTTGATTTTAGAGTATTCCTCCTTTGTTATGCTCATGTAGAAACAGAAGTCTGTTTTCTTGAGGTAACAGTGCATGCCTGGGTTGAGCTGTAGCCGAGGCTCCCCCGTCACATTCTCCACATCTAGGATCCCTAGTAACGTAACACCATACCTGAAACAATGACAATTACATGTTACCTTAACCTTTCACAACAATAGCTGAACAGTGACAGTTTAATGTAACCTGGCTTGTTACAGTATAGTTTAATGTCATAACCTTAAGGGTAGTCGGGTGGGGCAGTGGTTTAATAGTTAGTGCACTCACCTTGCACCAAGGTAGCCCAGATTTGTGCCAATGATTGACAGTAGGAAAGGTATATGACTACTTGGGTTTTCTCGGGTACTACAGTTTCTTTCCATATTAAGACCCTGCTACGCACCTCCATATGGGGCCAACAAGAGTAATTGTTGTAGTTAAAAACTTGTTTTGTACCAGGTACCAGGTTATTGTAAAATATAAAAAGTTCAAAGTTTTGTAACCTTTGTCACGACATAGAAGCTGGAACACTATGTCAGTTTATGGTATCTTGATTACTTTGAAGTATATTGAGGAAAGAGCTTACAACCAACTAAATTCGAACAAGCTCCTTACTGAGGTTAAATTAAAGAAGGATTTCAAGCCCTGTTTATTAATCAGAAAAAGTAGCATGGCTTACCGTTTATGAGCGTCGGCTGATGCCTCAGTGAACTTCTTGCCTTCGTATTGACTGAAGAAGGTACTCTTACCAAGCTGGATGTGGTATATTTCATTTCCTGAGTGTTGACCATAAATCTGCTGCCACGTTTCTGTTGCTAAGGAGCCCTCACTGAAATAGTCAACAATGTAAACAATTGTAACCAAGGAACCATGGACAAATCATACAATATAAACATCTGTTGCTAAGGAGCCCTCACTGAAACAGACAACAATGTAAATATTTGTAACCAAGGAACCATGGACAAATCATACAATTCTGCTCTTGTGTTTTGTCCTGTTGTTCTGTGGCTATTGTATCACATCTGTTGAGCAAGGTGCGTACGACGCCTAACTTCTGGTGCAAAGGATGGTGAGATTTGATGTGCAGGTACATGAATTCGTCCAAATGAGTCTTTTTTCAGGAGAATACAATTTCCTATTTAGAGTACAAGCCCACATGTAGATTCTGATTTTTGTTTACTAGCATACAGTACCTATGTTATAATTTTAAAAATTTTAACTAGTCCCATCAATCTACATTTACCAGCCTTCGGCAAGAGAATTGTACACCCCTGAGATTACTGATACAGTAAAACCTCAATATAATGCCACTCGTTTCATATGCCAGCTCGTAACCACCAAAAAATTTCAATGTCCCCTTTTTCTGGTTTTGTTAAGAACTCCTTTATACATTTCCCTCAATTTATCACCAAACCCCTGTAATACGCCAACATTTATCTGGACAAATAGTGGCAGTATAATGAGGTTTTAATGTACAAGCACAATTCAATATATAATAACAAGCTTTAACCCTTTCACCCCTTGGTATCTTTAGTAGACTCTACCATACATTTATATTGGCGAGTCCATTTTGGTCTACAGTGTTGAAAGGGTTTATGACATAAACACTTAACTCATTCACCCCTGAAACTTCATAATGAACTATTCCAACCTTTGAATTGGAAGAGTTCAAATGTGTCTTCAGGGGTGAATGAGTTAATATACTTACTATCCTGTGGAAGTATGCATCAACAGTGACACCAGTGTAGACAGGCCTGGGTACAGACAGTTGTTGGCCAGTAGGGCATACTTAAACTCATCCTCACAGACCACATGTTCTACAACAGAGGGGGGGATCTATTATACAAAATATACTACAACAGACAGGCCGGGGTACAGACAGTTGTTGGCCAGTAGGGCATACTTAAACTCATCCTCACAGACCACATGTTCTACAACAGAGGGGGG